TTATAGCTTGCATTTAAATTCTTGGCAAGCAAAGAGATCACATATACTTATATTCCATAATCTTAAATACTGAGTAGCTCTACATGACTAAAATGTTCTTGATATTTTTTTGTTTTAATACAAATGAAAATTGTTGTAAAAGTGGTGTAAACAAAATAGTCTAAATTTCACCTTGAAAGTGCTGTGCCCATTTTCACCCAATTATTGTGAAAGTGAGCACTGGGTGAGTGGTAAAGTGTGTGTGTGTCAATCGAAATGTGTGCTGCCTACATGCTTATTAACCAGTTTATATTCAAACGTTTTTCCATCACAATCGTAAAAAAAAAGCAGGTAATTTCAACTGTTTGTTGTTTTTTTAATACAAATTAAAGAAAGTCTTGTTGGTTGTAGAAATTAAATACTGAATATAAATTACTTTACATTATAAACCACTATTTTTGAGTTTTGTTGACAGTCAGAGCTGTGTGCAAAGAGAAAGGAATTAACAAAAGAAAAGCTGAAGACAATGACACTGAAAAAGAAGCACATTAACAGACAAGAAAGAAGGTGGTGTGGAGGGGATAGGGATACAGGATGATTTGAAGCTACATTTATTGACCAGTGATCTGCTATCATACATTTTGAGAGCACCTTACAGATCTCAGGGCTGAAATAATAGCTTAGAATACAAGCCATTAACCTCTTGCTTGCCAGACTAGACCTGGGGGTTATAGAAAATCTACAGGGTTCATGCAGACGAATCCACTAGGAGTCAGTTCCATTCTCTTTTCCAGACTCTGTCCTGCCTCGTGCAAGTTCAGCAAAAGAAACAACTTTTTACAAAAATATGTATATATTTATATATATTTATAAAAATACAAAATAAAGGCAATTAAATAAAGTAGCAATATACATCCAGTGAGTCCAAAAAAAGGGTGTCCCTTCTTTTTGGGTCATTTTTAAGTCACTTAAATTTGCATAGGATTTGGCATCTAGTGGTTGTTGGCATTTTTCTTTGCAGCCATGTGCATTCATATTCTGTCTCCTCATTGCCTGAAGGGCACCTGGATGGATCAACAAAGAGCATGAAGGCATTATTCTTGTTCAGTCCATCATAAAGCACCAGCTCCAGGATAGGTGTTTGAAGCAGACAGTCAGAAATGACGTTAGGATGACCCCATAGGGGCCAAATGTGTTTCATTTCCATTGGAGCCTGAAAGAAATGCAAATAGAATACTGTTAATTAACTGAATATGTAAGAATTAAATGGTTAATAGTGTTTACATTCTCTCCCTAAAACCATGGACTTGGGTAATTCTCTACAGCGTGAATTGTTAGAAACTCAAGGCAAAAATAGCTTAATTCCAAAAACAAATTAAATTCTCATAATCAGCTATGTCTTCCATTCTGCTGTATTGACCTAAACCATGTAATTCCCTGATTTTGTTGACAATTCCACATCGATGAATGCCCCTGTTGGGTTTAGACATACCCATGGGCATCTGAATTTACTTAATTTATGTGTCTCTACCACACCCTCCAGAATAGCTTTTCAAATGTGTACTGCCCTTTAGATAAAGACTGTAAGTGATTATCGATAGGCAAAGTAAGTCAGACATTCATTGTGGCTATATGTGATCCAGACTAATTAAAATAAAACATTTACTGTGCATTTATTTAATGTGGTTTATGGAACCCTATGCAATGCTACATTTTCAATCTATCAATGCAAACCAAAATATACACTGTTATCAAATAAAATAAGTGTTGATTAATCAAGAGGAGCAGACATTTTAACATTAAAAATATATTTTGGTTGAGTTCCCATTTCTCACCTGTTGAACGATATAGATAAGAGCCATTACTATGTTTGCTACGTAACCAATAGTTGCATTTGCTCTTTCTTGCTGGGCAGATGTTTGAACTTTCTATTTTTCCTCTTTGATGCTCGGAGTGGAGACTCTTCTTTTCGAGAGACCGTAGCAGGACGCACAGTTGTTTGAGGGGTACCTGTAATGATGGATCATTAGAGACTAGGCAAACTAGCTAGGAGACAATAAGAACCTTTTACAATGTTAATTAGGTGAGAGAGAAACTGATAAAAAAAAAAAACATCATAAGGACATTATTCAATTACCTGCTACCCCTTTAGCCTCCTGGTGGATGTGGTGGCTTCTTGGTGCAGCAGAATTAACAGGTCCAGGTTTACATTCCACATGGTCTTCTACGGAAATCACAACCAGTTCTACTTTATTCTTGGGACGACCCGGCGTAATTTTCATTATCTGAAATGAAGATATTTTGTTATCAATAGTTCATATGTACAGTAATAAGAGAGCAGCAGAAAAAATAGTACAAATAAACCTGAACATGTGATGAGAAATTTGGTCAAGGACCCACTAAATGAGAAATTTTCCTATTACTGCTATAACCTTCTATCAAACAATCTAAAAGAGCTGCTACTTTCAATTGCTCCATAATTCATATCTCAGATTTGCTGATTATTTTATCAGAGTTGTATGGAATGTTCATATTTATAGGAGTGGTAGAAAGAATACTTTTGTTTGAAAGTATAATAATGCAAAGAACAAAGCAATGTTGCATTTGTCGTAATAAAACCAATAGTAGTTATTTCCATTGTCCAATTTCCATAAGCAAAGATGTCAGCAAACAAATATCCAGCTATGAATTTTCCATAAAAAATATTAACTTTTCCAAAGCACACAAATTTCCTGCAAACTACCCCCAATGGTGAATTGGCTTCTGTTCAGGGACAACTCTACCATAAAGTAAATGAAAGCAAACATTGTCTACTCAGATTGGAATAATTGCTTTAGAAATGCTTGGAAAAAAAAGTGGACACTCACTTTTTATAAATGGGCTTTATTAAAGGGACACTATAATCACCTGAACAACTACGGCTTAATTTAGTTGTTCTGGTGAGTATAGTCAACCCCTGCAGGCTTTTTGTGTAAACACTGCCTTCTCAGAAAAAAAGGCAGCATTTACATTGCTCTCCATTGGCAGCCACTCAGACGGCCACTAGAGGTGCTTCCTGGGTCAGTGCTGCAGAATGCTCTGCGTGGAGACACTAAACTTTCCCCATAGAGATACATTGAGTCAATGCGTCTTTATGAGGAGATGTTGAGTGGTGCAGTGTGGCAATTTTCCTATGGGAAAGAATTAGATTGGCTGAGACAATCAATTCTGATGATCGGAGGTGGGGTATGGGGTGGCAGATCGAGCAAGGCAGGGCAAGTTTTCTATCTACTTAAGGAGAGCAAGGAGGGGCGGCCACCTAAATAGTGTTTTTAAAACTATAGGATCAGGAATATACATTTGCATGTCTGACCCTATAACGTTCTTTTAACTGAATGTGGCTCTCAGTAGGATAAGCCATCATTTCATTGTATGCACATTATGGACAGTTCTTAAAAAGCTCAAGTTTCCTTGGTTTATAAAACATGTCTTAAAATATTATGACAAGCAGACTGATAACGCATAACGCATGTATGTCTGCAATTTATCATTCTGTCCTCTTGCGGCTGAAAATTCTTTGTGGGCAGTTTTTCTTCTTGTGCATTGTTATTTAAATAAAGATTTTTTTTTTATTTAAATGTAATTTCGCAAAGAGATAGATTAACACTACCCTGCTTTTGTGAAGGGTATTACTATGTTAATGTCATTCATGTTTCATTTTAAAGAATTTTGAGTGAGTTCATTTGTTTCAAGCCAAATATGTGCACCTGATATGAAATATTTTGGCAGCAGCTCAAAACCAACATTGGAACAAGAGTATCAGAGTTCTAAAGGACAAATGCATTCCAGGTGCAATGTTGGTAATTGTTTTTTCCTCCCACTGGTTGTTATCTACATATCGTAAAACATATTTATATGTTGCAAAGGCATGGAAGTTAGCTGGAGTTCTCAGTTGGATGGCATGCCTAGTCTTTTGTATGCTTAAAAAATAAGGCTGTTTCAAACTGCACAGAATTGGTTGCTATTTAGTGGAGTTATTTTTTTATCCTACCAATGACATGTATACACCAGCTTGATTTCTTAAAATTTCATGTCCCATTTGTTTTCTGTTCTGCTTCTGCCTAGTTCTCACACAATGGAGGATTACATTTCTCCACTAGATCTTTGGTCAGTCACTTGTTTCAAACATAGGGGGACATTAAATTAGGTCACCATTTCCTTCCTCCAGTAACAGCTCAGTCAAGTGCTGCTAAATAGAAGGAGGATTGAAATAAACATATTTACAGTCCGCAATGTCATTTCCAATACAGATGCCAGGTTTTAAACATGGAACTGTATTGTGCCATCTAACAATCAGAAGGTTTGTATTGATGGCATTCTAGGAACCTGCATTCCCCAAAACTTGCCAGCATTTTCCTGACGAATACCCATTTAAAGGATATTTATCATTTTCGTTTTAAGAAAGAAAATATAATAAAGTACAAATAGGAAAATCAAGAGTGAGCAATACCTGCACATTTCGGACGTGGACGCGCACTGGAACACATTTATAATTAGATGACATGCAGCACCCAGAACACCTCTGAACCTCTATGCAGGAAGGATTTATTAGAAAATTAGCATTTGTCGGATCCACAAGTTGGCGGGAGATTTCGAACACTGCAGTCCTTGTTTTGCATTCTGCCATCTGGGCCATCTGAACATCTGAAATGTAAAATAGGGATACTGATAAGATGCTAAATAAAGTGAGGGAGGTCTTATTATTATTATTGTCATTTATATAGTGCCAACTTATTTTGCAGAGCTTTACAATGTTATGAAAGGGATATTTAACAGTAAATAAGACAATTACAAAATGATACAGAAACAATAGGTTAGTGGGGACCCTGCTTCAACGAGCTTACGATCTCCTCAAACTAGCAAGACACATTTATAGTTTGGCAAAATTCCACAAAATAGCATGGGCCTTGGAAAGAATCCTCTGGCAGGTAGTGTTTTTTCTTTGCTTAATTTATATCCTTCCTTTAAATATTGTTTATACATGTCTGATCCATCAATACAACATGTACTGTCTCCTATCACTGTGACTGTTATGAACAGTGTCAACAACACATATAAATCATTCTAAAATGAAAAGGCTGTACACCAATTTAAAACAAAAAACATTTTTTGGGGGAAATTCATTAAGAAACTGCTATATATGCATTAAGAAACTGCATAGTCAAGGCTCTGCAGCTTGAGAACAAAGTAATATAGAAAAAGCATTGCCAGGAAATTGTCAAGAAATTTCACGATGGGTTCCAGATGGTCACATCAGGCCTGCTACCAAAAATATATGTAAAATTACATAGATTTTTAAGAATGGTTCTTCTCAAAAACTGAAAAAGATCTCAGAAGAGGGAATTCAAATTCTTACTAGTGATAACTTGATTATAATTAGATGTATCTAGTCTATTAGTGGCTTTCTACTTCCATTCAAGAGTTTGCTATCTGAGCAACCTAGATCAAGATGAGGACTATTCTAAAGTCATAAGAAAAGCAGTGATGGCTAAAGTGGAGTTGCTGGATGACACAAAATGCTGTCCCAAGAGGAATGTGGCTCCAAGTGATCGACCCCATTAGCAGTTCCCTCAGGACATCTCTTTGTTCCATTGTTCGGGCAATACACGGACATTGCTGTGATGTTATGTTTGGTTAAATGGATAACGGTTATTGGTCAGACACGTAACAAAACATGTATGATGTAATTTCTCAGTCATGCATAGTTGATGTCATTCAGTAGTGATTTAGTTTACAGATTTATCTCTCTCTCTCTTACCTAAGCTGCGGATGACCCGGGAGTGGCTGGAATTAGCCCTAGGCAAACTTTGTGTTTCATTCCTAGAATTGTGGTTCATATCTTCCTCGACATCTGTCAGAGTGGATACATAAGAGATTTAGAGAGTGTAGGAAAGTGCAAAGGACCAAAAGAGTGCATTATAAAAGTACCTTAAAATATACAGCATTACAAGAAAAATACCATTGTCAAATATAGTAGCCTTGGCAGCTGCTCATTGCTATTACCATATCTTTTCATAGCAAAATAACTCCTAAAATATAAGTGATTCTCCCTCTATTCAGTAATAGAACTCACAATTTTAATGAATGGAATTAATATGCATTCCAGTTTGCATTGGTAGGAATGCTAAGTAAATTTTAACTTTTAGGCCAAAAAAAAGACAAAATGAAAATTTTTGAATTGGATACTTTTCCTACTTTGGCCATATTGTCTTAAAATTTAAATCCCAACAATTTGCATTTAAGAGAATAACCTTGTGAGTTTACCCTAATTACTGTTTACAATGTAGCTACTCCCTCTGTCCAAGCCCAGCCGTTTGTCTTTTGTTCTAAAATAGCATCTTGTTTTGACACTAATTAATTGTATGTTGTGTCTGCCCACTGTATGGCCTGTAAACATCTGTAAGTTTATTTTAAGTCATCCTGATTTAATGTTAAAGCAAATACAAATAAGAGCTAATCTCCAATTTTTAATTTACAAAAAAAGAACACAGTTCTTATACAGACGTCCCCAAAAACAACAACTTTAAAATGTGAGTAACAGAGATTAATCCTAAGGACATAAAATGCACATTCTAGTTTTTATCCCTGCTGCTACATGGGGACAGAGTCTTATTTGGGATTTTCCTCAGCTGGGAAAGGTACAAAGAATTACAATGGGTATTATTCAGATTTTAGGTAACACTGAAAAGCTAATGTTTCCAAAACAGCCATTCACCACACCCAGTCTGCATGAGAACACTCCAAGGACAAACATTGGGGTCTGGCTAGCCACGGGACTTTAGAAACTGTATAAAAGACGTTCCAGCTGATGTGAACTACATAAAGCTGAGACAGCCGGTTTCGAACAACAGCTAGTGTGCTAAAGTAAAACTGTCACTGGTGTAAACTGACCAAATCATTTTGAATCCCAGTTATTCTACTGTTAATTCATAGTCTGTAGACAAGGGCTGCCCAAAAGGTAGATCCCCAGATCGTGCTTTGCATGCCTTTAGAATGCTTTAGAATGACAAAGCATCATGGAAGCTGTAGTTTTAAAACATCTTGGGATCTACCTTTTGGGTATCCCTGCTCTAGACTAACCAAGATGTTTCTAAAGGTGAATTCTGACATTGCTAATAAAAAAAATAAAGGAACAAGCAAGAGTTAATGAGGATGTGTTCAACACAGTATTTCTTCTGTCTTTTACTGTAACATATACATATGGCACAAGATGTGACAAATACTCAGACAACGATGTCTCAGCTAAATTAAGATGGGGCTTCTAATGTCACCATATTATAGGGCTTGGCGTTAGCCTTTATTTCTTGGCTAAATATGTAATATGTGTTAAAAGAAAATTGCTATAAAGCTACATTATGTTTTGCACATGGAAAATCTTAACCTAGATGATGCAGATAACAGCACACATGTTAAAACTGCTTCACGATACAGAGCAAACCTGTTGCTACATATCAGGTGAAAATGAGTCAGAATGCATGATGCACGCTTTGCATATGTTAATGTACTGAAGTTGTGCCCTTTTTTTGTTTTGCAAGGAATGTGATAACGAATCGCAAATCCAAACAGCTGCAATCTGTGCCAAAATATCCTCATACTATGGCGAATTTAGTATGGCTTTTTTAATGCCAGAAGTTTAAAGGGTTATTCAAGTGATCATAACATGATTATTGTCATTATTGGTATTTACATAGCGACAACTTATTCCGCAGCGTTTTACAATATTATAAAAGGGAAAATTTAACAGTACATGTTCCAAAAGATTTACAGGAACAATAGGTTGATGAGGACCCTGCTCAAACGAGCTTACTATCTATATCATTCCAGGAACATCCTGGCCTTGTTACCTGGTAATGGGGCAAAATGTTTTGTAATGGTCTGCTTCTTTACCTGGGCCCACCAGGCCCCTGATCCTTTTAGTAGGCGGATTTATTACATCTGCAATCTGCAGAAGATGAATGTTGATCCCGCCGCTCATTGATTGGCTGGGGGAGGTCAGCTGACACTTTCAGTTGACTGCTCTCAGCCAATCAATGAGCTTCTGTATATAAATATTTGCACAGAATATACCTCTGGTGGCAGAGGGGCTAATCTCTGTGTTAATACTCCAAGCACCACGAACCCTTCAAATTACTGAAGTGATCATGGTACTTGGAGTTACGCTTTAACAATTCATAACAGTACAGAGAAAGCCCGAGTGCATCTCTGTAGGTAATCAGAAATACAATACAAAACAATTTGGACAACTATTACACACAAATCGGTTCTTGGTTCTGCATTTCATCAAATATTTTTATTATATTTAACATACTACAAGTAACTAAATTTGTATTATTTAACGTAGCAGTACTTTTTAAGTATATAACTATCTCTAATAGATCTTTTTTTCTTTTCTTAAAGTAAAATGTAAGCGTTAATTATGCCACACAATTTTTTATTTGTCCCCGGCATCAAGTTTGCTGCCTTGTAGCAAAACCCACCCCCCCAAAAAAACCAGCCCCTTAAATCCTCACATTTGAATAAAGAACATAGCACTTTAGCTGTGACTAAAATCTTGTTGCTAAGCTGGGAGTGTAAATGTTTTTGTTGACTTTTACAATGTATAAATTAAGACATTTTTAACTTTCCTATTGCGTGGAAATTAAATGATAATAGGAATACGTTATACTCAACATCTACAGAGAATTAAATATAATTTATCTAACAGCTATTAATTATTCATTCCAATATGTTTATCTATGGAGTAAAACTACGTTTATATTTCTAACGCTTTGGTGTTTTTTTAAAGTGCACCTGTCATGGCAGAAATGACTTGATGTCACCTTATAGGAAATACCATCTTTTAAGTACTCGTGTTAACCAGACGTCTCATGCAGGTATGGATTTATACATACTGGTATATTTCTTTAAATGGCTATTCTCCTTAACACTACATATATGATGTCACTAGAAGTTGCATGAATGACCACCAATGACCATACAGGACCCAGAACACAAAACAAAATATCAAACTTTAGGCCAAAATAGCAGCTTTAATCCCAGCTTTACAATTTACTATACTATCTGTAAATTAATATGTCAAATTCCTCACAATTCACCATTAATCATTTATTTATAGTATTTATAAAGCGCCAACAGATTCCGCATTGCTGTACAATTAGTGGAGGACGTACAATATACACAGTCAAATACAAGAGGTAGAGAGGGCCCTGCCGTAAGCTGATAACTAGCCATTGAAGCTCTTTTATACAAAGCTTAGCTAGATAGCCCGTGAGCTTACAATCTAAAGGATAAAATGGAGATTTGAGGTAGCAGGGGAAACTTGGAGTTGATGGCCAAAAGAAGTTAACAGAGAGAAGCAGCTATTGGTAAAATATAAAGGGAATGGAGAGGTAATTGAGTGAGAATCTCAAACAGCTGGAGGAGCATGCTCTATATTTAGTGAATAATCGCCAATTGTATATGGCTATGTTGGTATTTTTAGAAGCCAGACTTACTACTTTACTAGTCGATGACAGAGTGTAGAAACTTTTTATAAACTGTCTCAACAAAATGTAAAATTAGAAACAGAGCTATAAATGGGTTTGCCTGTAGTAGCCCAGCCTGATATGTGATACCATGACATTAGTAAATATATATGACAGGTACTATAAGCTTTGTATATATTCCATCATGGTCCTACCATCTTCAGTGGTTGACCCCAGTTGTTCCCTCTGGTAGTGCCAGGTTTAATTTTGATGCATGTGCCCAGCTTGATATTAATAGCTCACACAGCTGCTGCAGCTGGACTAAGTCTAGAAGAGAGGGGGAGCAGGGAGGGGGGAACGCTAGGAATTCTCTTTATGCACAAGCCAGAACTAAGGACTGGTACTACAGACAAAGAGGGGAAGTTGTGTCCAGACACAGATAGCAGAGTTCAGGGGTCTGACGTGCGCAGGGAGACAATAGCAAAGAGGGAGGTCGCAGCAGAGCAAAGCGAGCCCTGACGTACTGCAAGTACTATGCTCCTGGCATGGATCCTGTCACACGTGGACTTTCTGTGTACAGCATTTATTAATACTTTAGAACTAGCGTGGTTGCAGAAAATAACTGAGTCTATCTATCTACCTAATGTATAGTCAATACATTGTCAAACACGGACCTGCACACCAGTCAAGCCATAAGTCTTATGGCTTGACTCGTGTGCAGATCTCTGTTTAACAATGTAGTGACTATTCACTGACAGCAGATGGAAGGGGTTTTCAATAACTATTTTTCTCCACCATAACTTTCTTGGTTTGTGCTCCATATCTAATGCCCCCCCTGGATTTCTGTACTTGCCCTTTAAAGGGCTGACTGAGCAGTTGGGGTCCACTGCATGGCTCACACACCATGTGTGCGAGCTATGCAGCCGCACAGGGCGCCATGGCAACAAGGGCGCCGGGCGGCTGCACGGCTCGCACACGCATGGGCCGGCAATTCTGAATTTGCAAAGCCAACCGAAAGTCGTAGGGAGGGGGCGGAGTTAACTGACAGCGGGGGCGGAGTTAAATACAGCCGGAACCGCTGCCTTTACTGATGCAGACTGACCTGCTTCCCCAACTACAACAGAGCAGGAACTGCACTGCCTCCACTCCTCCCCTTCCAGCCCACAAAGGAAAAAGGTAAGTGTGTGTGTGTGTGTGGCAACACAGAATGTTAGGTGGCAGAACAGGACACATGGGGGGGCAGAACAGGACACATGGGGGGCAGAACAGGACACATGGAGGGGGGGCAGAAAAGGACACAAGGGGGTGCTGGGGGGGAAGAACAGGACACAGGGGGGTGCTGGGGAGCAGAACAGGACACATGGGGGTGCTAGGGGGCAGTATAGGACTGCTGGGGGGCTGTATAGGACCCATGGAGGGGCTGGGGGCAGTATAGGACCAATGGAGGTTCTGGTTGGGCAGAACAGGACACATGGGGGTGCTGGGGGCAGAACAGTACACATGGGGGTGCTAGGTGGGCAGTATAGGATGGCTGGGGGCTGTATAGGACCCATGAGGGGTGCTGAGGGGCAGTATAGGACCCATGGAGGTTCTGGTTGGGCAGAACAGGACACATGGGGGTGCTGGGGGGCAGTATAGGACCCATGGAGGTTCTGGTGGGGCAGAACAGGACGTGTGAGGTGCTGGGGGCAGAACAGGACACATGGGGATGCTAGGGGCAGAACAGGACACATGGAGGGGCTGGGGGTAGTATAGGACCCATGGACGTTCTGGTGGGGCAAACAGGACACATGGGGGTTGCTGGGGGGAGAACAGGACACATGTGGTGCTGGGGGGCAGAAAAGGACACATGGAGGGGTTGGGGGTAGTATAGGACCCATGGAGGTTCTAGTGGGGCAGAATAGGACCCATGGAGGTTCTGGTGGGGCAGAATATGATACATAGGGATGCTGGGGAGCAGAATAGGACCCATGGAGAGGCTTGGGGGGGGGGGTGTGCAGGACACATGGGGTGCTGGGGGGCAGAATATGACCAATGCATCTTCATTTGAGTAGTCAAAAATTGTTGTAGGATAAAAATGGTCATGTGTATAGAAAAAAAATGCACAAAGCAAGTTGAACAACAGTGTTTGTATCTGTCTGTGTATTTACATGTGTGGCAGTGTTTGTATCTGTGTATCTAGAGGTGTGTCAGTGTTTGCTTCTGTGTGTCTCTGTATCTACATGTGTGTTTGTACCTGTGTTTGTGCACGTACATCTGTGTTTTTATGTGTGTCTGTGCATCGGCATGTGTGTCAGTGTGTGTATCAAATCAGAAAATGGCAACAAGACCAATGCATCTTCACCCTGCTGTTCCTCCTCCACCTACTAACTCTCTTCTTCGCCCTGCTGTTCCTCCTCCACCTACTAACTTGACCGCCTCAGACTTTGCAACTCACTTCACTGACAAGATCTCTACAATCAGAGAAGAGATCTCTCATCTTTCTTCTTCCCCTAACTTCACTCCGTCTGCTGTTCTATGTTCATTCGCACCCGCTACATTGGAACAGGTTTCTGCTCTGCTCCAGTCCTCCTGCCCCACCACCTGCTCCCTAGATCCAATTCCCTCGCATCTCATCCATACTCTGTCTTCTTCTCTTTCTCCACCTCTCACTAAAATTCTCAATCTCTCTCTCTCCTCTGGTATATTTCCATTGCCCTTCAAACATGCAACTGTAACCCCAATTCTAAAGAAGCCCAATCTTGACCCTAACTCCCCATCCAACTATTGTCCTATCTCGCTACTGCCTTTTGCATCCAAGATCCTTGAAAAAATAGTGTATGCGAGATTGACAGACTTCCTCGAGTCCAACTCTCTGCTAGACCCGCTTCAGCCTGGTTTCCGTGCTAAGCACTCTGTGGAAACGGTACTGACCAAAGTATCCAATGATCTACTCGCTGCAAAATCTCGTGGTCACTACTCTATCCTAATTCTCCTTGACCTGTCTGCGGCTTTTGGCACTGTTGATCAACAACAGCTTCTTCTCATCCTACGCAATATCTGTCTACAAGATATTGCTCTCTCCTGGTGCTCCTCCTACCTCTCACAGCGCTCTTTCAGTGTTTCTTTCTCTGGCTCTGCTTCTTCTCCCCAACTCCTCTCCGTTGGTGTCCCCCAAGGTTCAGTCCTTGGTCCTCTACTGTTCTCCATCTATACTGCTTCCCTTGGTAAACTCATTAGCTCCTTTGGCTTCCAATATCATTTCTATGCAGATGACACACAAATCTACCTGTCCTCTCCTGATCTCTCCCCATTCCTCTTGACTAGTGTCTCTGACTGCCTCTCTGCTGTTTCTAACTGGATGGCTGCCCACTTCCTTAAACTAACTAAAACTGAAATTCTGGTCTTTCCTCCCTCAAGTGTTGTTACTCCTGTGTCTCCCTCCCTCCAAGTCAATGGTGCTACCATCGGCTCCACCATGCAGGCTCGCTGCCAAGGTGTTCTCTTTGACTCCGACCTCTCCTTCAAGCCTCATGTTCAATCTATCGCTAAATCCTGTCATTTCCATCTCAAAAACATTGTGCGCATCCACCCCTACTTAACGCCAGATGCGACTAAGGTGTTGGTCCATTCCACTGTCCTCTCTCGCCTTGACTACTGTAATCCGCTTCTCAGTGGTCTTACGTGCTCCCAACTTTCCATTAAAGTCCATGAATGCGGCGGCGAGGCTCATCTTCCTGTCTGCCCGCACCTCCCATGCCTCACCTTTTTGTCAGTCCCTACATTGGCTTCCTATAAAATATAGAGCTCAATTTAAAATTCTGGTTCTTGCTATCAAATCTCTACATAATGCTGCTCCCACCTATCTATCCTCCCTTATACACAGGTATGTCCCGTCTAGGCCCTTACGATCTGCTGTAGACTTCCGTCTATCTTCTGTCCGTACTCCCACCTCTGATGCTCGCCTTCAAGACTTTTCCAGGGCTGCACCGTTCCTGTGGAACTCGCTTCCCTCCTCCGTTAGATGCTCACCTAGTCTCCACTCCTTCAAAAAATCTTTAAAAACCCACTTCTTCATAAAAGCGTATCAATTAAACTGTAAATATCTCCTGACTGATTCCTCTTCTGCAACTGTCACTAGTCTAATACTATCCTTACCTTTTTGTGTCATTTTACCCCACTCCCTCTAGCATGTAAGCTCATTGAGCAGGGCCCTCAACCCCTCTGTTCCTGTGTGTCCAACTTGTCTGGTTACAACTACATGTCTGTTCGTCCACCCATTGTAAAGCGCTGCGGAATTTGACGGTGCTCTATAAATATCATAATAATAATAATAATAACTTGATTCTTCTATTAATCTTCTGCATCAGGTTTCTCAACCCTTTGCATGCCTGCACTTTATGTAAAAATGACTGTGCGCCTCCCCTTCATGACATTGTCAAAAAAGGGGCATAGCACGGATTTAATTACACTTATGCCCCCCCCCCCGGAATAAGTTCTGCGGACACCCATGGATGGATGCTCCATTGATGGAGAGACAGACAGAAAATGGATGAATAATAATGAAATATATATATATATATATATATATATTTATTTATTTTTGTGAAATAAATAGTACTTTGCAGCAAAAAGCTCGAAACTCTTTCCTGTTATTGCATCAACTATTAGTAAAGGTTTTCGGAAAGCTTGTTCCCCTTAAAGACTGAAAATACTTTAGTCCAGTAAATATATTAGTGAATATTGCAAACGTCCCTTTCACATAGAAATACAAATTCATAAAAAAATAAATAAAAAAAAACCACAGGCAGCTATCCGTATCATGCTTGCATTCCTAAATATTTACTACCAGTTTTTGTGTATTTTGGAATGAGGAAACAGTTGCCTCCAGCTGAGTAATATACAGGCTTGCATCAACATGCAAACAAATGCACTGTTAATATATGTATGTACACACAGTTTATTCCATATAAGTATTAAAGGTGCATTCTAACCGCAGTCTATTAAATATGAAGAAATTCAAGCACTGACAGGACTTTTACCAATGCTCCTGTAATGTTTCTTTGTTTTGTTGTGGGTTTTCCTTCCAATATTTCGTGTAGTTCACCTAGTCAGCCATTAAAGGGGCCTGGTGCTGGCAGTCTTTTCCAGCCAGTTATGCTCACCCGTGTTAGTGAGCCATTGACTTAGGAGGGAACTTCTATTATTAATTGGCTTAGAATCAACTTGTCTGTTGCCTAGCGGAAGATATCTGTATATCTTTCTTTCCTTATGGCTCAATTATTTGTTGTGTTTCTCTTGCTGATATTCATGCTGTGTGGTGTAGAGAGCCAGTCATTTGTTGGTTATTGTTCTTATTTTCTATATTTGTGCCACTCTTATGTTCTTACTACGTGGTTATAGCCCTTGCATGAACAACACTACTACTACTTCTGCGTCACACCCTCTTATCAACGGGCCCTAAGGAACCAGCAGTTGTCTTGCATGTGGTTGTTTGAACTCTATGACATAAAGGTCCAAATGGATCTTGGCTAAACCAATGGACCCAAAATATCCTCATTGGAAAAGAATTGGGAAATACCGAGGACTATTGGTATGCAGTAAAGATGATGTCATAATGATGTAATGTATCAATAACAAGTCACACTAACAAGTACCTTAAATAATTGATCATACCTTTTTTAAATCAACCTAAAATAACACACACACATTTTATATATATATATAACATATATATATATATATATATACACACACACACACACACACACACAAATATATATATATATAACAAAAATGAAGAGATGAGAGCAATTTATTTTAAAAATTCAATATATTTTAGCAAGTGATGGCAATCAACGTTTCGACCCGCAGGTCTTTATCACAATATACATATGTGTATATATATATATATATATACACACACACACACACATATATATATATACATACACATATTATTAATACTATTGTTATTATAATTGGATATATGAAAATAGATTGATACATACACATGGATGCATTTAAACACAATTTTAGACTGTAAAAAAACACCAGAATATGGTTCCCCTGTGTTTTTATAAATAGCTAGAAATTTCATTTAAGGGAACATACTTAAATAGATTTTCTAAATCTAGAAATATGTGTGTAGAAATATGATTAGTCCCCTACTGCAGCCAGTGGGTCTGAGTCATTCTCATTTTTCCATAATCTTTTCTACAGTGTGGGCAAAATAAAAGTATGGAAATCCATTATATATGAGTGACAGGGGTTGCAGACACAAAACCTGCTATGGTTTAAAAAAAAAGTTTTAGTGAAATAATTCCATTAACACAGGGGAATTCTGTGCTTCTAAGCATATCAGAACTGTGTGTCATTACTGGCTTCTGAATGGAACTTGGCAAGAACCTGGTTAGTCTGTAACTTAATATAAGCTGGATACAGTTAGAGAATGAGTCGAGGAGCGCATGTGAGCGGGACAGAATTTAAAAGGAACAGAATGAAGATACAAGTTGAAGAGATTTACCTACGGAATCTATCTGCAGAAGCCGTTGTATATCCGATATAGACTTGACGGATGCCCTTGCAAACTTTTCATACATATCCTCTGGAATGGGGTCCCCCTGCCAAAAAAGATATGCAAACCCAATTAAATGTCAGAGAAGCACATGTGTTAGCTAGGCGATATTACAAAAGAATAATCATACAAGTTGCTGCATCTTCTGTAGGTATTGCAGTCCACCTGTGTGAGCCAGAACAAAATTTCGATGATTGATGGACCATTCTCATGGATAGAGTGTCAGGGTATTGTCTATAGATATCACTGCATATTGAAAGCTATCTTACCTTACAATTAACAACTGGCCCTGGGTTTCAACAAAACAGAAAAAAATAAAATAAATACATTTAAGACTGTTAATGTGATTTGCAGTAATTTATTTATTTTTTAATTTAGTGATCATACTATGATTTTGCCTCCTTAAAATACTATCCATACAGAATGGGTATTTTACCCTAATATTAAATCAATGTGTGAAAAACAGGTAACATCCTTGGAATTTCTGCTGGCCAAGAGGTGACTTTTGCTCACTGTCTAGATCAGCGGTAGAAAACCTTTGGCACTCCATATGCTGTGGACAACATCTCCCATAATGCTCTCACAACCATAATGCTGGCAAAGAATCATGGGAGACATAGTCTATAACATCTGGAGTACCAAATGTTGCTTATCCCTGGTCTAGATGAACCCAAATAGGTTAAGGATTTTCCTGCATTCCAGCACTGGATGAGAATACCATAGGTTCCGGGAGAAAAAAATGGAGATAGAAAAAGACTTACAAAACACAACAAATAGCATATTCCCAATTTAAACATATTACAATTTCTTCAGTATGTTAAACCGTGATAGGAAAATATTATCATTATTATTATTGGTATTTATAAACAACATATTCTGTAGAACTTGTATGTAAGAACTTCTCATGAGATGACGTGATATTTTTTTGAACAAAAATGAAAACCCTTTATAATCTAAATATTTTTCACAAAGCTTTCTTTAGAATGCGTGGGATACACCCACTAGGTGATGAAAAGATCTCATGATTTATGACAACGAGCTCTGTGACTTGTCATTCATTCCTCTACATCCGTCTACTGTCACGTATAACGATCTCTTAAACCCAACAGCCCATATCAGGCGATCTCCGGTGTTTAAAAGGATTACGATCAAACAGCGCCCTAGACAGGTTACTTGTTTTGGGTCCTCCTTCTGTTCTTAAAATAGGGATAGTGAATGGTGCCAAACAAATTTATAGTTCCAGGGCCCTGTCTGAACCCTGGGCCGTAGTTGGCCGCCTAGGATCACCTCATTGTTAATCCTGGTCTGCTTCATGGCAACGTTGTTTAGTGATTAAATATATAAAGTACCATCAGATGATTAATTGACTATTTATTAATTTTAAAAAATCCAAGGATCTTGGCCAATGTTTGTGCATGCAGCTTATTTCCTAATCTGTTGTTGCACAGCTGGCAGCTCAGGGGTGTAAGCGGTTTAGATGTTGTTGTACGTCACCCCTTCCTGCCTGAAAAACCCTACAGGTTCCATTGTATAAAATCATTTATTTGATACTGTCTATCTAGCCCTCCACCCAATGCTTCTGAACACTGGGAAGTCCTCCGTAACAATGCGTTGGAGAACACTATACAAAAGCAAAACTGCTATTGAGATTTAAATGTTATGAATGTTTTACAAAGCCAATGACCTTCTTGAAATAAAGGGTTTAAGAAACTGTTCTTTAAAAAAACACAGTCTTATCTTCATGTAAATAAAACCCCAGAGCATGCATTAACTAGAAAACAGACCATTGTACCATGAAGTGCCAGGCTGCACAACTATGGACCTCCAGATGTTCTTCCAGTTACAACCCACATAGTACTCTGTCAGCTTCAAAAGATATTGTGTAATGTATTAGATGATGATACTTGCAACGAAACCGGAGGGCAACGGTTGGATAGCACTGTCTCAAGTGTCTCTACAGGGAATTGTATACTGTATTCATGTACAGCTACTCTGCAAATTTCAATACACAGAAAAAGTACCCTTGAAGGTCTCATGCAAAAAAAAACCCCAAGCATCTGGTCTGGGAATAGACTCGCAAAGACAAGAAAACACAGTTAGCTATAGTTCCATCATTGGACATGTAAGGTTATAGTATCATTTAATGATTTCCAGCCTAGTCATGGGAGATTTTGAGTCATTCCCATTAAACATTTGAGTAAAAAAAATATCTGTTAGTTAACCCTTTCAAGATAAAAAGCCATAGGTTAACAAATCTCCTGAACTTTCCTATACGCACCCTCCCACCCTTTCTAAAGGTGTTCAAATGTAGACAGTTTTGTCTCCCACAGAAATTCTTGGCCAACGCAGCATGGAACAAATCAGAACAATAAGAAAATCATTTGGCAGCTGGCCTTTCTAGGAAAGAAATACTAGGACCACAGTGTGTGGTGCCAACTATTGTTCTTCAAAAGAGCTAAGTGCCCCAGTGCAGTGGTCATGGGACGGATCAGAGAAAGTGAGAATGTCTGCAACAGATGAACAAATTAACTGATCAACAAAACGGATAAAGGAAAAAAGTTTTAAAAAAAAACCCAAAACTATTGTTTCGCTACCTGAGCACTTTGAAAGAGCCACAAAACATTTTTTCTTTAGCTTTTTGCTTCATTAATAGATGAAAAGGTTTTTGTTTGTTTTTTTAAAAACCATAGCTTTAGGCTTCAGATAAGAAATGGCATCTATTTTACTTTCTAACATACTATTTTATTCCCTGCCGGGGACACCATTCTTGCACATTATACACAGATGGGAATCCGGTCACGGAAGGTCATCCAGTATTTACTGCAGTGGAAGACCCTTAATAAGCCTTTGAATCTGCAAGGAAAGCCCTCAACAAAACGTTCATGAAATCGCCAAGACAAATTGTTAAATCAGGGGAAATGGGATCACAATCAAATCTAAAATATTACAGCTATCCTGGCACACCGCCAGCTACATTTCAGCCACATGACAGTGGATTATTTGCTATAAACAATTCCTGGTCAAAAACAAATGCAAAGTCTATGTAAACAGTTTGGTGTTTATAATAAATTCTGAAAGCCACAGAACCAAATTTCACCCACAAAACAAGTGAAGCAACGTGTAATTGTATTGCTAACTTCAAAACCACTTTCTGCTGTCTATTGCACTATTCTGTGACAGAATAGATGTGAAATGCAAAAAATTCTTGGACAGAACTCTATAATTATCAATACACAATTCTCCATTCTGACTGCCTAATCCTGGAATGTCAAAGCTTTTTAGTTGAAAGTAAAGTTAATGAACGATATTAATTAGCAAGATTCCCACACTACAAAGGCTGAAAACAGTCTTGTGTCAAAGGTTACGTTGCAGTCCATTATATACTAGGTACAATTTGACTTCGAGATTAGTTTGGGGGCATACAGTTTACAGTTAAAATACCCAGTAAGATTATGTGCTAAATTAGCCATATCTGCCAGTCTGCCAAGGTGCCAGGTAGGCCTGAAGCAACAATTTACATGAGATTTGTAAGAAGAATTCAGCAAGGTCCTGGAGGAATATGAGGTTGGAAATCAATTTGGTTTTGTGGGCGGCCCCGCAAACCATAGGTTGTTGCTTGCCAGTAATGGCTAAATACAGGTGTGTGCAGGTGTGTAGCTGGTGGTTATCATAGGAAACATAGTTCTCAAACTCTTACAATGACAAATTTAGATATCCCGGGCAATCACAACATTCTATATTGTCACACCATTCATTTAATCAATATTTTATTCTTATATCTACTCTTTTTTATCACGCATTTTGCTCCCATCCCCCGTGGCCCTGTTTCTAGTCCTATTTTACACTATCCCTGCCTCGGAGGCGTGTGTGCGTGCTGTAATGTAACCTGTCTTCCAAATGCATTCTCAGAACACGCTCCCTCAGGCTGCACATTTCAGTGTGTCCCAGGCAGCTGGCAGGACAAACACTACAGTGTACACACACAGTGCTGGTACGTGGACAGGTTTGCCTAGGTCACCTCTACTCTCAATCGTCACTTTTTCACCACCAGCCTTCCAAGCTAACTGTAACAGAATAGTGTTCAGAATTCCAAATGGCAAAACTAAGGTTAAAATAGCCAAACTGTGACTAGAATTAAATGGGAGCGAATGTTTCCAGATCAGCAATTTCAGTGTGAATTTTGTCATTAATATTTCAATGTGCTAGGTTTTGGAGATTTGCAAATAAATCCTTGAAGTGTGATTTATTTTAGGAATTCAATGAATTTGGCTTTTAGGACAAAATAACAGAACTGGGGGAAAAAATGACTCCAAAGTCAGATATGCTTTCAGTATACCTTGGTCTAAAATTTGAAACGCTTTCACAATTCACACATTAGTAAATAAGTCCGCACTACAGAATATGATGGTGCTTCATAAACAAAAACACAACTTATTATAGTATTTCCCATAAAAATGCGTCAGAACGCTGACACAAAAAGCAAACACAGCATACCACATTTTATGTATAATTTTAACCTATTTGCTGCCTAGAATTGCCAAATTACAGATTAATGTACACTACAAGGAAAGCAACCTGCTAGCAGTGTTCATTATACCTCCACCTTTCCACCAAAACTCATTAAACCCATCAAGAAATGACAGGGCTTGTCACAATAACAAGGGATTTGCCTAACCCTGACCCTGACGAGGTTAAACAAATTTAACAGGTAAGTCACAATTTGCCATTAATCGATAGGGGGTGATGATTCTGGGATGCTATATTTTAAAATAGATGCAAAAACCACTATAAAAGGTATTGCATGCATTAATAGTTATATAATGAATTCAAAAGGATGCCAACATTTCATCAAAGATTGCAAGCTCGTGGGGTAAACAGAAATGTATTCTCACTTAGTTAATGAGACCTAAGCCTGGCACAGTCTTAATCAATACTTTAAAAATAAACTCAGAATAGACACAGCTGGCAGAGTACATGCATCATTTCATTTTAGCTCACAGCAACCTGTACAGTTTTTTGTTCTTTTTTTTTTTTTTTACAGCGCTACGGAATATGCAGGCGCTATGCGTGTGGTCATTTAGACGAAATCCTCACCTCAGCACAGACTACGTGAAGGAACCACAGAAACACCAGCAGCAGACCCTCGAAATTCATCCTGTAGAGCTCCCAATAGTTTGTAGAACATAGAGTGGCTGTCAGGTCTGCAGTGTATGGGAATAAGGGGGGCAGACAGACACCCCTCCAGTTAAGGGGTTCTCCTCCCCCCCAACAAAAAATAAACCCCGCAGTGCTCCTTATTCCAGAGTCTAAAGTGGATGCAGCGTTGATATAAAACAATATCAAGTGCCAGATGTTTTATTCAATAAAAAGGATTAGAATTGTATCCTTCAGCATTAATAGTAATATTCCAACAGTTCCAATAAAATGTCAACAGGATTCTTCACCGAACGTTCTGGGTTCTGGATTCCCTGCAGAACTGATGCTGATAGCTTACCCAGAGTCACTGGCTCAAGTTAAACGTGTGCCGGGGGTTTTCTTCGGCCAGGGAAGCAGGGGGCGTGGGGGAGGATCTAGGAGGGCAGAGGGGGTGGTTGCCAGCAGCTATATGATTGTATACATAGGTGTGTGAGCAGGGCTGTGGGCGTATTGCACAGACACAGGAGGGAGGGCACAGCTTGTTTCTTTAGGAGGTGGGAAGCACAGTAACTCATTAACAGTGCAGACACAACAACATGCAGGGAAATGGCAATCAGACTGGGCTGTTAAGAGACCTGCCTTGTGTTATACACAGTCCTGGCATTTTATGACTGCTTACCTGGGAGACAGACAAAGTCAGGTTAAAAGGTGACTCCACTGAAAGTTTGGATTGAGAAACAGGACAAAGAGAATGTGTGTGTGTGCTAAGAAATTTAAATCACTGTAATTCATTAACATTCCAATTAATGTGTTTGTGTATGTTACAAATATATAGCTGTACAACACATACATATGTTATTTATGTATGTTGAAAATTATAAAGTACTACACAACAAACCGAACATTTTCAGGGTTCTTCACTAAAGTGAGTTTCTTGGGAGTTCAAAGTGAATTTCTAATAATTTAATGGGCACGCCACTGCCCAAATAAAAGAAAAGGAATTGGTGTTTAGTAGACATGGCTCAAGGAGGTGGAATAAGGTGAATTTATAAAGGTGCCTATTTCTATTGAAAAATGCAATTTTGTAAAAAAAAAAAAAAAAAAGAGTACATGGTATTTACAAATAAAGCATGCTGAAGTACTTTAGGGGTCTGGAGTGTCCTGTTAAAATCAAAATACCAAATTGGAATCAAAGCTGATGTGGAGAATTGTTCTAGTTCAGCTAATTGGCACTAAATTAGAAATTCACAATGAATTCCCAACAATTTCACTTTTGTGTATAATGCCGACTTTGCTCACATTAAAAAAAGAGTATATTACACAGACCTACAAATAACTATTTGTATATCTTATAATAAAGCAAACAGAAAGTAGATGCTGCTAGTCTCAGTGCATACAAAGCTCTGAGATCAGCTGCATCCCCTGGATATATGTATAGTTGTGCTTAATTATATACATTGGGGTTAATCCCCTTGAGACCCCTGGAGTCTCTCCGCGGCACTTAAGATATTGGGTTAGACCTGACACTGTCACATTTTTGGGTTGAGTCAGTGTATGGGAATTTACCCATGTTCTTATTTTCAGTTTTTTCCTTATATCTTATAATGTAATTTGTTTATAATATGCACATGAATGTAGCATTAATTCTAGATTTGTGTTAGATACAAAATATTCAGCACTACAAAAGAAACACACATAAAGCAGTATACACTGATCAGCCACAACATTAAAACCACAAGCCTTATATAGTGTATGTCCCCCTTTTACTGCCAAAACTGTTCTGATGCATCTTGGCATGGACTTCACAAGACCTCTGAATGTGAACTGTGGTATTTTGTATCAAGTCATTAGCAACATATCATTTAAAGGGACACTATAGTCACCCAGACCACTTCAGCTCAATGAAGTGGTGTAGGTGCCAGGTCCCTCAGGTTTTAACCCTTTAGATGCAAACATAGCAGTTTCAGAGAAACTGCTATGTTTACATTTGGGGTTAATCCAGCCTCTAGTGCCTGTCTTCCGGACAGCTACTAGAGGCGCATCTGCGCCGCTGGATGCAAATTTCGCATCCATCGCACAGAGTGTCCTTAGGAAAGCATTGAGAAATGCTTTCTTATGGACTCTTTGAATGCGCGCGCGGCACTTGCCGCCTATGCGCATTCCGCTCCACTAGGGAGCTGACGTCAGACGGGGAGGAGAGGTCACCAGTGCCGAGGGAGCCCGGCGCTGGATAAAGGTAAGCTGCTGATGGGGTTTTAACCCCTTCAGCGCCACGGGAGGGGGACCCTGAGGGTGGGGGCACCCTCAGGGCGCTATAGTGTCAGGAAATCTGTTTTGTTTTCCTGACACTATAGTGATCCTTTGAGTCCTGCAAGTTGAGAGTTGGGGCCTCAATGGATCGGATTTGTTGTTCCAGAACATCCCACAGATGCATTAATCCAATTGAAATCTGAGGAATTTGGAGACCAAGGCAACACCTTGAACTCTTTGTCATGTTCCTCAATCTATTTCTGAACAATTTTTGCAGTTTGGTAGGGTGCATTATTATGCTGACAGAGGCCACTACCATCAGGGAACACGATTGCCATGAAAGGGTTTACAATGGTCTGCAACAATCTCTAGGTAGGTGGTACGTGTCAAAGTAACATCCCCATGAATATCAGGACCCAAGAATATTGATCAGTTTATAACACTGCCTCCGCCAGCCTGCCTTCTTCCAATAGTGCATCCTGCTGCCATCTCTTCTGCAGGTAAACTATGCACAAGAAAAAAACAAAACATGATTTATCAGACCAGGCAACCTTCTTCCATTGCTCCATGGTCCAGTTCGGATGCTCACATCTCCATTGGAGATGCTTTCGGCAGTGGACAGGGGTCATCGCAGGCACTCTGACTGGTCTGCTGTTATGCAGCACTGTACGCAGCAAATTGCGATGCACTGTGTGTTTCGACACCTTTATAATTTTTTTCAGCAATTTGAGCTACAGTCACTATTCTGTGTGATCGGACCAGACTGGCTAGACTTCGCTCCTTATGTGCAACAATATGTGGTAGCCCATGACCCTGACGCCGGTTCACCAGTTGTCCTTCCTTGCACCAGTTTTGGTAGATACTAACCACTGCATACCTGGAACACCCCACAATACTTGCTATTATGGAGATGTTCTGACCCAATCGTCTAGTCATTACCATTTGGCTCTTGTCAAAGTCCCTCGGATCTTTTCCTGCTTCCAACACATGAAATTCAAGAACTAACTGTTCACATGCTGCCTAATATATCCCATTCCTTGACCTGTGCCATTGTAACAAAATAATCAATGTGATTCACTTAACCTGTCAGTGGTTTTATTGTTGTGGCTGATCAGTGTAGATAATATAAAGAGATTACTTTGTAGTACTGTCATGCAGAATAGAAACAGTAGTCACTATCCTCTGATCCTCTGCGATACGTTTCAAAGCATACACATAGACTGGATCATATATGGTGGCTGCTGCTCTGATTTTGTTTTCTATTGTTTGCCATTTAAGTCCATCATACAGTTGTTCAAATAGTGTCTAGTAAAGCAGCATAAGCTATTTTAGTTATTCTCTGTGTTCCTTTTCTAAAACTACCTTTCCCGTCAGAAGACCAAACAGCTGGGGGTCTCACTACATCACATCTAGGTTTTGCAGCTGGATGTCTGCTAAAAAAAACTCTGGGTTTGGTGCATTAGTAGCAGCTAAGACCCTATCCACCTCAGATCAGGTTATAAAACAACGTGCCATGCTTGTTTTCAGAGACAAGAGTCACAAGTCTGCTTTTACTCAATACTCAATGTTCCATCCGGATGGCTGCCCTCATTTCTGGGGACATTTCTCCCCATTATTTTTCCTAAGACTCTTTATAAATACTAAATACTCTTTATGTCCCCCGGAGAGGCTGATCTTTTTAGACATCCCCTTGCAAGTATCAGTAATGACCAGAGGATTCTATATTACAGATGAATAATGTCCTATGTAAATATTTCTATCCAAATGATACACTTCTTCAGCAATGCACACAACTACACCTTGCTAAATGTGCATTTACGGTTCCAAAGGTTCTCATCTCTTTCTCTTTTAAGCTTGTGAGATAGCAGTCACGGTGTCTACACCATAGTACCAGGGGCACTAGCAGACTACCATAGTAAATGGTGAGATGGACATTGTGATACATTTAATAATTCCTTTGTAAATTTAAAAATGCCATGCACAATTTGCGTAAATGATTTCTTCAGAAAATGAGTGAAATATAGAGCACTGCTGAATCAGTGACTGTGATGTCATTTGATTAATGCTTAAAATAATACCCTGTCAATGATAAAATAATTTTTGTGATGGTAAAATACAGTTTAACTACATTCTTTCCACGCTTTGCAATGCATAACACACTTGAATAGCAGGTCATTTCTTTTATAAGGCACAGCTCAGGGAATAAATTACTCTTTGCAGAACGCATAAAAATATCAACAAATATTACATTTATACATAGGAGAGAGATGCATTTAATTTATAATGATAGTTCTATGAATCTATAAAAAAAAACAAAAAAAAAAAACATGTTGCTACCTCCATAGATAGACATTTGGATTTTTATATTAAGAGACATTTTCAGGGTTTTCAGTTAGAATTCATAGGGTAACCAAACTGAAAGTAAAGATGATTTGGAGAATGTTTCTAGTTCAGCTAATCTGAAATTGGCTTTAGATTCTCCCTTTGGTAAATAAACCCTTTTATATAAGCACAGACTAAAGTTATCTGTATATTTAAATAGACACCTTCTAGAAAATTATTATCTTGAATAACATCTTAAGCTGAAAGTATAGAATGAAGGAAAAGGTGTTGGAGGAATGAAACTAATGGTACAAAATTGAGAAGTAAGAAGAGCTTTTTTTTACACTGTGGTTTATAAGGGGAAATTACTTAAACAGGGCAAGAAAAATAAGAAAAGGAGGTGTTATTTGTGAAGGAAATGATTAGTCCATCAGAGATCTTGGAGTTCTTGTGACTAGAACTGCAAAAAACGTGTGTGTTTGTGCGTGGGGGAAGTTATATCCGGGTAAACATGAAAAGTCAAATTTTATATTTTATTCACATATCTAAGTGGTGTTATTTTTCCTGTTTATCATTTCCTTCCCTGTTTTTGGTGATGTTCTATGGAGATCCTTTTCGGTGGTTGCAAGTTAAAGGCTCCTTGTACACTTTAAACCCCTTGCACGTCTCTGTGCTACCTCAACTCTGGGATACTTGGCAAGATTTATGTAGTGAGGTGGGATGGATGATATTTACACTGCTGCAGCATAATATTAAAGGGATACTATAGTCACCAAAACAACTTTAACTTAA